AGTTAGAATGCAGTATTGCAGGCTAATTCTGCCGACTGCTGACTGCCAGCAGTTCGATCCTGATTGGCTCCAAATTGACTCAGCCTTCCATCCTTCCGAGGTGGGTTAAATGAGGACCCAGATTGTTGGGGGGCAAGAGGCTGACTCTGTAAACCACTTAGAGAGGGCTGTAAAAGCACTGTGAAGCGATATATAAGTCTAAGTGCTGTTGCCCTTCCTTCCTTCCTTCCTTCCTTCCTTCCTTCCTTCCTTCCTTCCTTCCCTCCCTCCCTCCCTCCCTCCCTCCTTCCTTCCTTCTTTCCTTCCCAGTTGGTCTAAGTGCTATATAAGTGCTGTTGTTATAACTCGAGGACTACCTGTATTCATACATTCGGGCCACCTTGCTGCCCCTAGCGATGCCTTTGCAAGCCAAGCCGCCTGAACCACTAAATTCTCTTTATTTATTTATTTTTTAAAAAATTCGAATTAATTCCAGCGTGGGAAATCCGACTTGGCGCGGCTCCTCGTGCCTCGCGCGCCCTCTGGCGGCCGCCGCGGAATCGCCGACGAAGAAACCCGGAAGCGAGCGGCGGCGGGGGGCGTCCAGGTCGGGACGGGTGCGTGGCTTTTGGGGGGCGGTGGGCGAGGAAAGCGGCCTGGCCTCGGTGCATCAAGGGCTCGGGAGGCGTCTGCGGGCCTCGGGGGTGTTCCCGGGCCGGGGGCTGCATTGCAAAGGCGAACGGGGCGTTTGCAAATTTGCACTCCGGGATTTGAACCCCTCGCAAGCTTGGGTGGGGTCGAGAGAAGCGAGGGATGGGTCTGAAATTGGGGAGAGGGCTTGGGGAGGGGGCAGGGCAGTAGGGGGAGAGACCCTAGCCCCACCTGGCCCATCTGTCACTCCTTTCAGCCGCTCCAAACCTGGCTTCCACCTGGCTTGGGAGCGCAGAAGCCTTGGGCGCCCGCGGGCGCCTCCTGGGTGGGGATAGAAGGGAGGACGTAAATGTGAGTCAGTGGCCAAGCGTCTCGGACAGTCGCAAAAGGGGATCATGGCACTCCCGGGGGGACACTGCGTCCGTCATAAATACGAACCCGTGGCCAAGCGTCTGAATTTGGATCACGGGGGTGCTGCAACGGTCGTAACTGGGGGAAACGGTCATAAGTCCACTGCCGTTGTAACTTTGAGCCGTCACTAAACGAACTGTTGTAAGTTGAGGGCTGGCTGTGCTTTTAGCAAAGAGAGGCGACCTTCCTTCCCGTAACAATCTCTGATTTTATTTTATTTTCCTTGCGTATCTCCCAGGCTTGGCTATGGGGTCAAAAGGCGGAGAGAGCTGGACCGCTACCGTTGAGGCTTTCCGGGTGTCCCCCACCGCTTTCCTCTTATCCCACCCGGCCGGAGACACCTTGGCCGCTGACTTGTTGAATGAATTGCGGAGCGAAAAACTGGGGGAAGCCATCAAGGTACACAAACACCCTTCATTAAGGTTACAAAAATAGTATATTGGAACTTAAGGAGGGTGGACTTCAATTCCCAGAAGGCCCCAGCCAGCAGACTAGCTGGGGAAACCTGGGAGTTGAAGTCCACCCATCTGAAAGCATGTCGGCTGGGGAATTCTGGGAGTTGGTCCACCTATCTTAAAGGATGCCGACGGGGGAATTCTGGGAGTT